ACATAATCTGCATATTGCACCATAATATATGAATCAGTAAATGACTATGAGATTCTTAATGAAGCCAATTGTTAGTTATTATGATTTGAAATTATAACTGGTTCAAGTACAGACTTCTGGAATCATCGAGATTGAGAATCAATAATAGTATGATTGCACTCTACAAATAGCCTCTCACCATTCTTTCGGAAAGGGACGATGATTGTTTGTCATTGAATCGTTCAATTTAATCCATCGATGATTTTGATAATCTAATAATAATTGAACGAAATGTGACGATTATCTTTTTGTTTGAAGCTTGCATTATTTTTGCTTTGTTTAGATAAAAGCACAAGTAGATAGCCTTAAAATGTAAACCTGTCTGACTAAAAGTTCAAATAAAGGAATGCATAATACCTGAAAAGCTTATCTTTGGCTGTAGTCTTCTTGCAGCGAACTAACTATGTTCCTTTTTTAAAAAAAAATTTTTTTTCTATAAATTACAAAGATAAAAAAAACTAAATTATTTGTAATAACGCTACAATTATTTCAAAATTTCTGTAGAATCACATATTTTATTTATATCATCAGTTTTATACCAATATGTTTGAATCTTTGCAGAAGTCTTGTCGATACAGTATATGCGCTAAGAGATCAACTTAATAATGTACAAAAGGTTAATTTAATTTTTTTTGGAATTTAATTTTATTAGCTTATTTGGCACTGAATCAAAATGAGATGCCAGCAACACTTTTTCTTATCATTTAATTACAAATAAAAATTTTTTTTTTCAAATGAAACATTAAAGGATAACTTGCAAGTTCAATAAATTTTCTTCCAGGAATTACTTCAATTAAATAAGACACTTGATCGAGAACAAAAATCACGCCGTCGTCTAGAAGAAATGGTAAGACGACTGTGTCAACAACTGCAACAGCAGCAACAACATGGACAAAAACTTTCAACAAATTTAATTTCCAAGGCACCCCTGTCAGCACGTGATTAATAAAGTGCAAATGATTTATTCTTGTTTTCTATATGTTATTTTTTATCTCTTTCATCCAATATTATCTCTGATTTCTTTTATTGAATACGCAGAATCACTTAAAAAAAGCATGCAACATTAGCTACTAATTACATTCATTCTGCTTACTTATTAACGTGAACAGTTAATACGGTTATAGATGAGCAAGATTTCCTGATAAATATAGGTGCCAAAATAGTTTTTGAAATGTTTAGATTGCGATATTACACATTATGTTCAGTTAGGCAAGATTAACATAACTTATTTTTTTAGTAATTATTTGTTTAAAGTTAAGGATCTAATTTCATCTCATGTTGTATCTAATTATGACTCAGCTAAATATTGAAACTGCTGAGCAAATGCATCCTAAATTAGCGGTTTTTTTGGAAAAGGAAGGTTGTTTTCGGAAAGTTACAAAATTCCTCTGTTGATTTTTTTTCGCATCTAAGTTATTGGTAAAATATGCATATATAATGAAACTATCTTCGGCTTTTTCTCCTTCCTTATAATGCAGCCGATAAGTCTTTTCAGTACATTAATATGTGTATTGATACTTGCTGTGATTTTAATTTACAAAATTTGTTTCTTTTTATCCAAACGATATAGTTATTATTTTTATTATTGGCGCAATTATACTTTTGTTTTTTTAATATTTGCATGTTGCTAATCAAAGAAGAAAGAAAATTGATGCAACGGCTGATTGCGAAATTGAATTTTACCTATCGCAATATCTCTCTTCATACTCCTTTATTCCATTGAGTTATATTTTTCTTTATCTGACAGGAAGAAGTGAAATCGAATTGATTAATTTTCTAAAAAGTATTTGAGGCGATATTATACTAATTTTTTTTTTGATTTCTTGATCTGAATCAGAGGTTTTCAATTATCATTATTATTCCCATAGAATTTTAATTCCCATATCGATAAAATTTGTTCCTTCCTTGGTTTTTTCCTCTTTACCAGTAGTTCATTACATTGTATGATTTAACGCATAAAGATTATTCGTACATTTATTTTATATGGATTACTTAATTGTTCTTATTGTTCGATTACCATAAATTTTTAATTAATCATTGTAAATTGAAAATTTTTACGTGTTTTTTCAATATAAAATAACTCCCTGAAACATTCTATGCCATATCATGCAAGCAAAGGAAATTTAATTAGCAAATAAGTAATTCGATATGCAAATGTTTAAGCGACATTACGAAAAATGCCAATTTACTTTTTGAGTTGTGTTTGATTTCTTTTTATTTATTCACTTTATTTGTTGGAATTATTTTATCGATGTGTTAATTTTCATTTCCTTAAGTGTTTCACTTGCTTTTATTTAGCCCTTGAAGTATATTGTAATACAGCATATGTTCTATTTAAAAAACTAATAATTTAATTGATTTCGTTGAAAAGTGAATTAAGACCAGAAAGTTTCGTATTACTTTTGTAAAATATAAGGAAATTGAAAAGATTTCTCAATTTTCTACGTGTTACATATTTTACTTTATCGCAATGATTACTATATCAGATGTAGTATAGCCAAAAAAAGCTCACAAATGTTTGATTAATCGGAAATTGAAATTTATTTTGTAATTTGAGATGGAATTTATGCTGCATTTTTAGGTGCTTTAATAATTTATTAATTTGAGTCATTTATTTTATATGTTGCAGTGGATGAAATGTGTTTCAGTGTTGAGTAGTTTATCAGATAATCATATGACAATCCAAAAATGAGTAAGTTCTGTAATCTGCATTTTGTTATAATCTTGTTATCACTTTTAACGAGAAATGAAAATTATCAGAATCTTGTTATCAATGAAATGTCATCTTTTAAATGACGTGATCTTGCGTTAAAGGATATCAATTTTAAAAGTTGGTTGACTATTGTTTATCATTAGTTCTTTTTTTTTATCCGGAAATGGAAGTGTTGTTAGTTTTACGAAATGAGTTTTTTATATATGAGCAATAGTTGGGGTCGCTCACTTTTTTTTTAAATCGAAGTTTAAGAATTTATTATCAAAATTTCTGATCAAAAGAATTATCAAATTATCAAAAGGAAAAAGGAATTAACAAAAAATTATCAAGAGAAAAAAAAAATTTTATTGGCCATTTGGTCAATTAATTTTTGGTTTAAAAGAGTATAAAAGAATTTGTAAAAGTTTTTTGTAGGATATTAGTAGGCAAGGGCAGTGATGTTCTGTTTTATTGAGCTTAAGGATTTAAATCATCTTTTTTCTAGGATGTCACAGAAGTTGATAACTTAGCAAAAATTTCAAGAATTTTGATTTTTAAGATTGCAAACAAATCAAATGAGTTTTTGTCTTTTTTACCATTCGACTTTATGTTCTGTTCTTTAAACAGTTTTAAATCAAGTTAATGCGATTTAAAATAAATTATATTCAATTTACTTCTTTAAAAAAAATTGATTTGGCTTTTGTTAATGTTCATTCAATTAAAATTCATTTAATTAAAAAAGCTAAGATCAGTTATGCCATGAAATACAATTAAATGGTTTCGATTATGTAACGTAAAACAACTTAATGAATTTTAATTATTAATTTGGATCAAGCAATTTAGTCCATCAATTTTGCTTCATTTCGAAACGATTATGTTTTAGTTCATTATTCTTCTCAATTTTAATGAATAGAATTAATTTAAACTTTTAATGAATAAATTAAAACTAATTTGGATTAATTTACTGATAACTTATCGTTTTCCTTCAGTTCTTTCATTCTTTTCAATGGTTTCGATCGGTTGTTACAGTTTCAATCGATATCGTAGTATACGAACCATACTTTTACTATCCTACAATGGCGCTGATCGCATTTCGCATAAATTATACCGTAAATTCTTTTTTCTAGGCATTTTTATTACAAAATTCATTTACATTCACTAATTTTGATGCTTTTTTTATTGATTTTTTTCTTCAATTTCATTTACTGGATTAATCAAAATGATTTACCAATTATGAAGCATTGTTTGCATAAAACAAAATGATTAAATCTTGTTTAGCCTATCGATTACATTAGGATAGGCATTTGTTTATATGTCAATATCTGGAACACTTTCTCATTTTCTTTTTTTTCCTTTTGCTTAAATTTTAAAAAACTTATTTCATTTTACGCATAAGCATTCTCCTGCCTGATTTTTATGCTTATTTTTTCATTTTGTTTATATTTTCGTTTAATTTTTCTTTCCAAAATTTTTAAGCAGTTGGCAAATTTTTTGTACATTTTTATCTGCAGTAACTATTGTTGTAGAATATAAAATTTTTTATTCTTTAGTAGTCATTGTCCTTGATAAATGATCGTAATTTTTATCATAAATTCTTTAATGAAAGGTGACCTAATTAATAGTTCTAACATGTTTTGTTTCATCGTACAGTAGAAGAACGTAGTACACTTCATTAATGGAAATTTAAAGGTTTTACGCCCACAATAATGGGTAAATATTACAACGTTAGAAAATTTTTCATTTAGTAGTAATCGATTGCAAATATGCTAAATTTAATTTCACAATGAATTATGTTTTCATTCCTGATCTTATTGGTTTATGAGCTTTTTTTTTTTCAAAAATCTTAAATAACAAAATAATGCAAGGATTGAAAATATCCTTGTTTTAAAATATGCATATTTAATGAGGAGGAAAAGAAAAAATTAGAATGAATGACCTTGCAGATTTTTCGACTAATTTTGTTCTTTTTCTAAATGTGAATTGAAAATTTTCCCTTTTGTAAAAAACTCAAAGATCACCGATATTTTCATGTTTTCATTTTTCCCTACATTCCTAAGGAATTTTTGTTTCTTTTAATTACGAGTGTTTAAATTAAACTGCTCAGTTTTCTTTCGCTATGAACAACACTACTACTAGATATTTCCAACTATTCTATTTGATCATAATCTGTTTGATTAATGATTCAGAGTGTAAGAATCCTGCTGAAATTGTCCGACCATTTCATTCATCTAATTTTTTATGGCAACATAATCGCTCTAAATATTTCGAAATGAAAATAGATGAAGATAGCAAAATTGACATCGATTCCTCAAAATATCCGCTTGCTCGAAAAGATGATTCAGTTGTGGATGATTTTCATGGCACTAAGGTTGGTAAAAATTGAATGTTCTCTAGAATTAAACAATTTTTTTTTGGTGACTTTTACAAATGGATGATGAATTTTGATTAAATTTTGTTATGGAAATGATTGTGGATTCGCTTTAACTTGAAGAACATTTGTATGACCGATATAAATAGCTTAGGGATCAATCATTTCATTCTCTCTAAAAATTCTTTCGTTTTCTCATAGTTGTTCATAAATATAACATTATCCTTAATGTTTTTATATTGTTAATGTATTAGGCTGCCATTGAAAACAGTTCATAAGATATTCAAAACGATTTAAACTGTTTATTAATGCTACAACAAATTTGGATCCTGAAATATCATTTCTTTAATTTTAAGTCTAAGAAGATGTTGTGAATGGGTTTGATTTGATTTGATTTTTGATTTGGTTTGGGAGAGTTTTGTTTTCATGTGGCACGGGTGAATTTGTTGGTGAAGATTTTTTCTTTGGATCGATGTTATTGGCTTAGTTGTATTTCTTTGAGATGGGAATTGATCAATCTATTAGATCACGATGGGATGAATTAGGCTTGGATTCGTTATTTGGGTCTTGGTTAGAACGTTTGTTCTGGACACTGTTGATTTTTACATAGTGAAAAACTACGCTAGCTAATGTAGTTCATTGGGTTTAATAGATATTTAGTTGACGATAGTACTAATAATGCTGAAGTTGACTGCGGACAGTGTTATCCCAGGTTAATAGTAATGAAATTTAGCAGTTGATTTAACAACAGTTGCAAGAATAGGCGTACGAATGTTAAAATAAATGAAAAGGTGGCTCAATCCTGGTATATTTGACCGTTTATATATCCAACATATCCAATATGAGACGCTACCAAGACAGTAGATAATGCCGGGGTCAGACAATGTCACGTTGGAGAAGGAAGAAGCAATGAGGACAAAGGGCATTGTTTGATTACTTGTTAACTACATTTGTTTCATATAAAAGACAAAGAACTAATCAAAGGATGAAGGCGTTATAAGGCAATCTCTTAATGAATTATAGCAACACAAAGAAATTAAATTTAACAAAGACAAAATTGTGAGATGTAACTTCCTCAGCTTAACTATCAGAATAAATTTGTGCATTTTACTGAGGAATATTTCTCATGACTTTAATTTGGTAATTTTGCATTATGGATTAATCTCGGATTTCCGACAGAAGAACGGATTTATTTGACAGAATTCTTTCTGTTTTGGTTTTTTTTCTTCTGTTTTTCTATGGGATTTTATGTCACCTTAGCAATAAATTTTTGGATATTGATGGGGAAATTAGTTGGGTCAGCAAACTGATCCAAAATTAATTAAAATCAACGAAGTACATCGGCTACATTTTAATGTTATTAATCCGAGTTCATCTCTCAAACTGAGAATTCTCTTTTTTTTTTTTTTTGAAATCTGAAGTAATCATAGTTCTTGGATGATTAATTGTAGGTGGCAGATCCCTATCGTTGGTTGGAAGATCCAGATTTGAATGAAACAAAAGAATTTATTCAACAACTGAATTCAATCTCTCAGCCTTTTATTGCAAATTCACCTTACAGAGAGAAACTTCGGAAACGGTATAAATTGATTTTCAGACTTATTTTTCTCTTGAAAATTAGAACATAAAATTTAACATTGGCAGTGTATTTAATTTAAATGGATAATTCTAGATTAACTGAACTTTGGGATTATGAGAAATTTGGTTGCACTTCCAAAAGAGGCGATTATTACTATTATTATCATAATTCAGGATTGCAGAATCAAAGGTATCTGACTGGATTTTTTTTTATAATTTTTTAATCAATGCTTGTGGTGAAATTTTAAGCGATGTGAAACTTTTTGGTATTTGATGAGAATTGCTATCATATTGCAGCACTCATTCCGAAGTTGCTTGCCAATAAATAAAACTGAGGCAGATTTCATTTCAGTAATCGCAGAGGACACAATTCGATGAGTTTACTATTAGCAGTATTATTAGTTCGAGATAAAAAGCCTCATCTTAAATTGTAGTGTGGGTGATATGTTAACTACCTGTCTAATGACCATATAGTCTAAACAGTTGAAAAGAGTTTTGGTGATGAATTTATCGATTAAGTAGGAATGTAAATCGATTAGGAAATCTTAGTTAAGTAAGAATGTAAATCGTGAGCAGTTAACTTTCAGCTTATCTTTGCATTGCATTCTTTCATTCTTACTTTCTTCAACCTTCTATAATATCTTTATTATTTAGCGTTTTATATCGTCAAAAAACATTGCTTGATAAAAGTGAGGTATTTCTTGATCCAAACAAACTCTCTGAAGATGGTACTACTGCTATACGTGATAAATGTTTCTCTCATGATGGTTCCATATTGGTATATGGTCTTTCACAAAAAGGCAGTGATTGGATGACGTTAAAAGTAAAATTTCCAATTTTTTTCACAACTAGGTTCTAAATCAAATTCAATTATGTAAAAGGTTTTTTTAATCGTATGCTGAACAGAAACGATACAATTTGATCTGAAAAAAAAAATTCCAAGAAATTTCTTTACAACTGGGTTTTATATCAAAAACTGAGTTATGTAAAAAGATTTTTTAATCACGTGATGAGTAGAAACGATGCAATTTGATATTTTAAAATTGGATATCAAGATCTTATCGTAATCAAATGAACAGTGGAATAGTTTTATATTGTACTTTGTCTGACTGAACTCTTTGGAAAATCTCATTTACTAAAATGTCTTTTATTTTTGGGTGATTGAATAGCTTGATGACTGGGATATTTCAATTTAATCACACTTATAACAAAATTTCAGATTTAAATTCTTCAAAATTGAGATAATTGAAAAACTTTCGCTTTTTTATGCTAAAAAAATGATGATGTTCAAGTAATGTGAGCTTATTTGAATCATTTTGGATAGAATGTTTGTCAAGTGGAGTTTCTTACAATCTCTGAAATTAGTTACTTTATTATAGGTTTTTTTTTAGTTTAAAAAAGCTGATGGGACTGATTTGAACGATACAGTAGTAGGCGTTAAACACAGCAACCTAGATTGGTTGATCGATAACAGTGGAGTCTTTTATTCGGTACGTGCTTTTGTAATTCAATTTGGAATTGTAATGAGTATTAATATCGCTGGAATCAAAAATTTTTTTAATTTTTTTTTCAAATTCAGAAATATCCCGATCATAAAGGTGCACTGGAAGGATCATCAACAGAAAAACATGAATATCATTCATTGTATTTTCACAAATTAGGTACTCCTCAGAGTGATGATATTTTAGTCGCTGATTTTCGATCTCATCCCGAATATATGTGGTTTGTATTTTGTATATCCGTGTTAGTGTAAACGAATTTTATATCTCTCTATCCATCTTTCTCTTCATAGGCCTTTTCTTCTCAACTGTAAGCGTTTGTGTCACTCCACTTATCCAAAAGAATCAGTCAATCATACTTTCGCTGTTATCAGCAATGAAAATATTTAGCAATGGATAAGGAGTTCATAAGAGTAACTTGTTTGTACGGGAAATAAAATTCTTATTGTTAACGATCTATAAATATCTAAGAGCTGAAAAAGATTGACAAATTATATCTAATTTATCCTGAGTTTTGAATTATTTTTCTTTTTATTTTAACTTCTAATATTATTTTTCTTGTAGTTCGGGTAGCGTAACAGAAGATGGTCGTTATCTGATAGTGAGTGTTAGTCGAGGTTGTGATCCCTATAATATGCTTTACTATTATGATGTTCAAGAAGTGCAGCAAAAAATTACGGGTAAAATACCCTTGAAACCACTGTTCGATAAATTGGATGCGAAATATGAAGTAAGTTTCTAATACTAATAATGACAACGATTACAGTTTTCAAATTATTATAGCTGTGATATCTATAGCAGTGCTATAAGTGTTTAAAAAGTGCAAGACCGATGTTTAAAGCATTCATTCTTATAATTTTCCAACTTCTATTATCATTTGAAATAACGTTAGTGCATATTTAAACACAATAATATTTAAACACGTTGCATATTTAAATACATAATAGTTGAATAAACTTAAAATTGTTAAATTAAACGTTCTTTCAGCTTATTGATAATGATGATGATACAGCTTTAATTCTAACGAATCACAATGCGCCACTGTTCAAATTAATAAGAGTGAAAATGTCAACAGCGAACGAAGGACCATCTGCGTGGGAAACGGTAATTCCGGAAGACGAAAAGAATAACTTAGAATGGGTGGCAAATGTTGGTGGAGATCGTTTGGTGGTTTCATA